GCCCAAGTCAGCAGGGGGTCGATTTTCAATCTTCGTCGCTCCTTGAATATGGGAATTGAGCTTTGACTTTGCGACTTCATAATTCACTCTAAGCTTTTTTCATCTTGCGTTTTTTAGTAATAATTGCCGAGTCATTGGGAGCGTCACGTAGCTGTTCACACTCAGGAAACCCAATCGTGCGTTTCCATGCCTCCTTAATCAGGATTTTAAGCCCATTCAAAATGTCCGAGTTAATCTGGAGAAAGTTCACCTATTTTTATTTAGACGTGTTCTTTTCCATTTTATGTTTTTCTACCACGTTTCGTACTAATTACGTTCCAAAAATCTGGTTCCCGAAAGTTGTCCTTATTTTCCCACCCAATTATTCCCGTCTAGACGTTGCAAAAGAACACGTATACAAATTTCTCAACAAAAAAATAAGGATCTCTTCCAATGAATGAAAATTATGATGTGATCCTCCCCGCTTGGGGGCAGTCCAATTATACCCCCGCTAGTTTTTGCACTGCAATGGATTAGAATCCACACCCGGGCGAGAGTGCGAGAGACCAAATAGGTATCGCGGGGCAAGAAGAAGAAATTGAGGTTCAGAAATGGGCCCCTCTCTTTTTCCGAGGTTTTGTGGCCCCGAGGCTATTCATGACCCCCGGCGGCCCCATTCATTTTGGTGCGAATAATTGGACCCGCCGGCCTGGCCATAGGCATAGCGATTGCTCACACATACACACCAGGAGGTACACGCAAAACCAATGCACCGGGCATGAGAGGGGTGAATTTTGGCATAGGGATCTGAGGGAAATATGAATGTTTAAATTTAAATATCGAGCAAAAGAAAGAGCGAAGCCCGCGCAGATCATACCGGATCGGACGGATTACAATTGGCTAAAAGCCATCCGGTTAAGACATGCTAAAAACGAGATAGAGATCACGATCAAGTCAATGGTAGGGGAGCCGCTTTCCGCTAATTTATCTTAGGGGTTTTATGCCCAAAGGCAACTTTTTGTGTTGCTACCTCTGGAATTTTTCGATGGCCCCATAGCGTGGATTTATCGGGGTTTTGTGGCAAAAAAGTCAGGGGGAATTGGATTCAGTGTGCTAATCCAGCTGCGAAAAACGCATCCTCCCTTATTAGTTGCGCAACGTAGTGGGTAGAATTGGCCATTTTGTCAAGCCAGTTTTTGGGTCGAAGAACACGAGCTGTTTCGTGCTACTGTTGCTCACAAAACGGCTGGTGCAGTTTCGTTACGTCGTTTTTTTTCCAGGAACTCATCGTGCACGAGAGCTACGATATGGCAGGGAAATCCATCACGCGGCTACACCTCTACAAATGCGTGGACGATCTGGGGGATTCCTTGTTTATCCTGTTCACGCTCTTCTGCTTCTTCTTCGTGAGTTTGTTACAGAAAAACCCATATAATTCTGTAGTGGTTTTTGTTCAGATGATAGAGTCCATTTTTCTAGGCGTACCTTGTCCCCTTGTTGATGATGATCTACTTCTACTACGAGATGTTGTATCAACTCTTCAAGCAGTCTAGGGCAGTTCGGCAGGTACAGTTTTTATTACTTTTTGGGATAATGCATCCCTTGTCAGCCCAAATATTTTGTTCTCTGGAATTGGCTCTAATCCCCCCAGATCTTTTGTTCTCATATTCTCAATTTCAATAGTAGCATACCTAAATTAATCCGAGATACACCACCGTACAGAAATTCACCGCCTACATCAGACAAAAAATTAAAAGAAAAGAAAATTAAAATGTTTTAGAGCCTGGGTCAGCGGCGCAAAAAGTTGGAGGAGCGGATTCCGATCATGAGGATTGCCGTCTACACACTCGCCATTTGCGGCTTCCACTTTATTTGTTGGTGGGTGGAGTGCAAGACCGGGTTTGAACAAATAGAGAATCACAGTTATGTCAAGGCAAAATCCGAGTTTTGAAGTTTGTAGCCTAGCAACTTTTATCAAAAATTTCAGAATTTAAAATTCTAGAAGAAAGAAAACTAGGCCTAACGTAGAAACTAGAAAGCTAAACTGATTATGCAGCTGATAAAGCGTACCTCCTACCGCAAAAGTTAACTTTTGGCTCGATCTTTGGTATTCCAATCATCTTCATACCTCACCGAGTCTTAATTTGCTATAATCCGTCCCAGCTTTCCACGCCATAAACTGAAATTTCTATCCCTTCAGTTAAAGAACAAATTCAACCCTATTCAAATCCATTGTTTACACCTCTCCTTAGCTCGTCAGCATTTCCAACACCCCACATCCAAATGAGAATTGGGATTAGCAGTGGATCAAGAGCTAAGAAAACGGAAAATGGATCTATTATCCATCCACACAACCCCCAAAAAACCCGGCCCAAATAATTAATTTGGGTTTGGGCTGTGACTCTTCATCGCATCGCGCATTTGCGTGTGGTTAATTGTAAGGAGGTTGATGAATAGAAATGGAGGGGATATTGCAATATTTTGTTTTCAAAGGAAATTATTGTGAGTCATGAGGATGGTGGAAATCAAAGCTCAAAAAGTGGAATTGACAAAAAATCGTAATTTAACAAAATTTGGGTTAAATTCGATAAAAATGCGCCAAAAGCCAATTTTCTTTGGAAATTAAAGTTTGAATTTGTTTAGTTGATCAATTTGAAGTCGAAAATCGGGAAAAACGGCTATTTGAAAACACAGTCATTAAGGCAAATTACCTGAAAAAATCTTTCGAGACCATAGATCTCTTCGAAATTTGCAAATTAGAAAATTAGAAAATGAGAGATTGAGAGGAAATCTCGATGACTTGCGCATTAATAGGGCTTTGGAGAGAGATCGGGCGTAAAGCGTAGCAAACCTAGCCTTACTGGCAGGTGTACCGCCGTAGCAACGTGACGTACACATGAAATGTAGCGTAATTAGAAAACGTACAGCCGTAGAAAAACGTAAGTCATTTGGTTGCAAAAGCACGTTGAAGATTTGATTTACGAAGCCTAAAAAAATCTTGTTTCTCGATAAATTCGAGTATTTAGGGGCAGAGTAAAAATCGTATTCTACCAAAGAAAGGCACAAAAATACCAAAAAATCGCCGTTTCAGGACACCCTACTGGATCTCGGTGCTCTACTCGCTGTACCTAGAGCTAGCTACTAGCAACACCGATCCACCCACCCTATCGTTCATCTACTTCATGTATGGTGTGCATGCCCTACCCTACGTCAACTCGGCCAGCAATTTCGTCCTCTACGGATTGCTGAATCGACAGGTTCGTTTACAATTTGCTTTTTCGAAGCTTCAAAATAAAAATAAATAATAAAACCTTCCTGAAGCGCTCCGAAATTCAAAATTAGATTGACACCTAAAAAATCCAACCTTTCCGGGACCAGGAAGCTGGTTTCTATGAACCCGAAAAGAGTCTGGTACCACCTGCCCCATTCTAAAACGACTACGATTCTTGTGGTCAGCGCAGAGCAGTTCAAATTTGGTAAAAAGGGCTGGGGAAGCAAGGTTTTGAGGGATCAAGGACCAGAAAAAGATCCGATTCCGTGCCGCTCCTTGTGTCAAGCTAGAAATTAATGAGGACCGGTTTTTAACAAATTCCATGCCGAAATACTCGGGTCCTTGCTAGCTTAAAATGCGTTTCAAAAAAGCCTGAAATTTGAAAGGATAAAGCTCTTCGTTTCAGCTTCACCAAACTCATCGACGGGATCGTGATCACCGATCCTCAAGAACTGGCTACACGTCGACACTAAAAACGAGGGACTCGGCTCCGGTTTTGATGAACGGGAATGGTGCGTTTTGGATTGTTGAAATCTTTGAAGTATCGTAATAACAGTTCAGAAAATCACAGCTAGTGTCCTTTTATAATCTGCATGTGAGTGCTATGAAAAATCGTTAATGAGCAAAATCTGTAAAATGTTCAGGAAATAAATAGAAAGTCAAACGACAGATGGCTATCACGCCCACCATCATTAGTGTGCATTAATTTACGATTTTTTAATTTATCCATTAATCCAAATTCGTACTCCTAAATTTCAGGTAACCCTAACAATGGTTACATCAAGTCCTCGCCATCGAATTGCTCCCTACAACACCAAGAGTACATTCCATTGGTCGTCAAAACGGTAGGGCATCCGATTACGATATCAAAACCCCCATTTTTAGTCCGATTTCGCCAGCATGACGTCCCCAAAGCCAAGTTTATCAAATTTGGAGAGCTGCGAGGACTCGGTGATATTGTAAAGCATTCATTGTTTGGATCTTTAGCGCGTAATTGGTGGAGAGTTTGGGATTTTTGGAAATTCGCTAGCTTAAATGAAAAATTTTACTTTGTGAATGCGTCCAATGGACAACTAATAGATTTCGAGGTCTTAATTAAATAGTAAAAAATTTCGTAAAACAGAACTTTAAAAAAGATTTAAAAGAGTTTAAAAAGCCCGAAAATTTGCGAAATCCTTCCTAAATCCGAAATTTACGCTTTTTCGTACGGTATCTTTCCCTCTTCCCGTGTGCCACAGAACTTGCCAAAACCCATTTTTAATTTGTATTTTCCGTATTTTCGCATTTTGTAGTTTATACAGTGTGCTGATGCCCCGACCCCCAACTGCTCAACGTGCCATACATTTCGCAAAATTCCGCATGATTTTTTTTGGTGTGCGTATCAAACATGTTTTAACGAAATAAATGCGTGTAAAGTTACGAAAGGGTACAAAGTACAAAATACACCCAAATAGCAGCGTACAAAGTACAGTAACGGAAACCTGAGCTGGTGCGAGTTTTAGGAAACGTGGAAAAAATTTAAAACGGGTTCAATAAGTTAAAAGTTATAGAAAGTATTGTACAGTTAAAATTGCACAAATAAAATAACATAAATTAAAAAAGCACCGTAGGAACGTGGAATTGCTTGGGCGAGGCAGGGAAAGAAAGGAAGAAAGACGTTAGAAAGACGTGGTAGAAAATATTGAGCAATTTTTGGGAATTTTTAGATTCTTTTAAACAGATAAATATAGATTTAAAAATCTATGTTTTAATTAGAATTTAACTCGCTATTTAATGTGCACCGTATCCCGTCAAAGTACACGGCGGACGTGTCGTGGCCGAGCACGTCGGGTCGGCGGTAGTCGATTAGGGAGTCCTAGAAAAATATTACATATTACATTATTACGGCCTGATTCTATTCTTAATACATTACGCAATTGAATTAAATCCTTTTCAGAACGCTTTAGACCTGCTAATTACTTACTCTAAACAACTCGCAACTCCGTTGATCGTCTCCGGTGATGATCAAATTCGCCGAACGGCAGTGCGCCTTGTGGCACTCGGCAAAGCATTCAGATGGACTAAAATGAAAAAATGCAATGAAACCGGCATCCCGATGTCATGATCATGATTTTCTAGCAAAAAGCAAAAAGGCAAAAAGGGGTTAGCCGCATAGGGGGCTCGAACCCCTGACATTCAGATTAAAAGTCTGACGCTCTACCAACTGAGCTAATGCGGCACTGGGGGCGGGAGGCGCGAGGGGAGTGGTAAGAGAGGGGGCCGCCAGCCGATTGATTTGGTGCCCGAGGACTAGTGAAAAGGGACTTGCAGCAAAGATACAAAAAACCAAAACAATTACTTATAAAAATCTAGGGTGATCTGGGGTAAAGAAATTTAAGGCAAATTCATACCTTTGCACTGTAACCTCCTTGATCAGCTTGGTCCCGTGGAACATGGTGCTGTACATGGCCGAATAGGTGCATTGCCCTGGGAATTGAGTAGTGGTGGTGGTTGGTTCTTCAGTGGTTGTAGTGGCAGTAGTGGTATTTGTAGCTTCGAGAGTAGTCGAAGATGATTTCCTAGAATTAAATGGCGTATTGGTTTGGTTCAAATACTTTTTGACCATTTTTCTACTCTTTGGACCCAATTATGTTTGTTTTGACATTTCCAACGTTTTAAAGAACTTTATGAGTTCGAACTCTTTCAAATATTATAATTTAAGGCAGATCAAATAGACTTTAAACCCACTTTTGACCAAATTTCCTTGATTTTGGCGCCTCGGTCGTGGTAGTGCCATTTGTAGCTTCTTGAGTCGCGGCTGAGGGTTTTGGGACGTCATTTACAGTGTAGTCTTCATCTAAAATAATTAATAACGATTATATTCTACAAGTTTTAATGCTTTAATCGCGTTTTAACTTTTTCTTCTGATTCTTATGGCAGAATTTGAATTTACCACCGGTTAAAACGAATTTCTTAAGCTTATTTTAAGCGTATAAACGATGACAAAATTCATAAAAATCTATTTAAGGTAAAAGCGCTAATCTTAGCCTAGTATTTAGGAGGATATTGGCGGTTTAATCGTGCGAAATTATTTATAAACGAACATACCATGACTCTCCTTCACGCTAACCGTCCTCTCGACCTCCGTCTCATCCTCCAGCTCCTCGGAAGCCTTATCCTCATCCTTTTCCTTCTTTCTCGGCTCGTCTACGAACTTCTCGATGTTCTTCTTATGCTTTCCAGCTTCATCGGCGTCGATTTTTAGCGTCTTCCCAGCCGCGTGAGCCTTGGCGCGTGGTTTCTCATCCTCCTCCGATTCCACCTTCGCCTTCTTATGATGTTTCCTCTTGTTTTTGTTAGGTCTCCTCACAACAGCTTCTTCTTCTTCAATCTCAGATTCGATCATATCTCTCATACGGTTTTTCCTGTGATGTTTCTTGTGTTTTCTATGTTTCTTCTTCTGCTTCGGGGCTTTTGATTTGGTGGTTGGGGCGGCGGTGGTTGATTCGGGGCCTTCGAGCTCGACATCCTCGGAGTCGCCAGAATCCTTGTTTTCGAGGCTTTTCGTCGGTTTGGCTGCGGTTTTTGGTTGTTTCCGGGCTTTTCTGGAGAGCGTTTTCATCAGGGCTTCATCCTCTTTCTAAAGCAGATAGATAAATGCTTAAAATATGGTAAAATACAGCTAAAAATGCTGGTTAAAAAGCACTGCACTCCGAAAATAGAAAAGGACGATTCCGTGATATTTTAGCATAAATTAAGAATATAGCATAAGCGCAGCATTTTAAGAACTTCATAAAAAGTTTACTTTTGTAAATTAACAAAGCGTATGTTAAAATACATCGCATTTCTGGAAATAATGTTAGGAAAATAAAGTTAAAGTGAAACATTTGAAGCGACTTATAATCTAGCAAGCTTAAATTAGGAATTTAACAAAAGCGCAGCGGTTGATCAAAAAAGGGTAATTTGGTAAGTTAGCGTAGCACTTCACATTCTAGAGATTTCTTAAAAAATTATATAGGCGGAAACTAGGCTTGTCAAGCCGGTTATAAGCAGCTTTAGCCTAGTGTAAAATAGCGTATTAACTTACCAACTCCGCCGCCTCTTCAGCCTCCTCTATTTCGGCTTGGTTAGGGGTGTTAGTAGAAGCCATCGTAGTGGTGGTCGTACTCGTCGTGGTCCCATTCTCCACGACAACGGCCCCATCCACAAACAAATGCACGGCTACCGGAATGTCGGGCATCTGTTAAAGCGAAGCCACACGATTAGTGGAAAGACAGCAAATTCGGTTATAAAACACAAAAAAATCACTAGATTGCAAAGACCTACCACCTCCTCGACTTCATCAATAAAATCTTTTGGATCGAGCCCTTCCGCTTCTGGGATGTTGAAGTTTATTCTCTAAAAATTTAGGCTGTTTTTGAGAACGTAACACTGAATCAGTGCTGTTTTTAGCCATTTAAAGGGCCCTTCAGGATTTGGGACTATGGATAGATAGATCTCATAAAATTTTAGCCCACGAAACGCAGCGCGCGCTCTGCTCCCGCAGAAGGGGCTCAACGCATTCTGGAACCAAGAACGGACTCGTTCGTTGCGTGTAGCGGGGGCGGTACCACTCCTAGAGCATTAGTAGCACACAAATAATCTGTAGACATGCCTTGTCAGCTCCTTTAAAGTCAGGTTGGAACGAAAGTTCTGTCGCCGAGATTTTGGAAGGCTGGCTAAATTCGTAGATAGCTCCATTCTGCACATGCGATATGTCATTTTGTAGCTCTCGGTCTAAATGGTTCCGGCGGAGGGTCCTGGGCCCTCAAAATCAAGAACGGCCGAGATACAGGCCCAACAAGATTTTTCAAAAATTACGAGAAAGTGTTTTTGCAAGTTATCTCTACATAGAACCATTTGTATGCGATACCTTTAACGCCAATCGATAGCTCTCGAGGAGTAGATATCGATAGATGTTGCGATCATCAAAATTGGACACTGGATGGCCGAGATCCGGCCCCTTGAAGTTTAGCCCATTTCTTAGAACTTTTCCCGATTTCCCATACATTTTTGTCAAAATCCGCGCCGCTAGTCCAAAATAAAGCGGTGATTTTCGGCACCTGTCCGTCAAATGTTTGAAATGTATGGGAAATCGAGAAAAAGTTCTAAGGAATGGGCCAAATTTCAAGAGGCCATATCTCGGCCATCCAGTGTCCAATTTTGATGATCTCAACATCTATCGATATCTACTCCTCAAGAGCTATCGATTGGCGTTAATGGTATTGCATGCAAATGGCGCTATGCAGAGATAACTTGCAAAAACACTTTCGCCTAATTTTTGTAAAATCTTCTTGGGCCTGTATCTCGGCCGGTCTAGATTTTGAGGGCCCAGGACCCTCTTCCCGGAACCATTCAGACCGAGAGCTACAAAATGACATATCGCATGTGCAGAATAGAGCTATCTACGAATTTAGCCAGCCCTCCAAAATCTCGGCGACAGAACTTTCGTTCCAACCTGATAGAAAATGCGAAAAGCAACGCTATGTCACGACTAGGTATCGACAACTACGATCGGCACCAAAATACGAAAAATAAAAAGGTTTATGCATAACTTCCAGTGGACCTTTGCGTATTTTACAGAATTTGCTAGTTGTCGAAACCTAGCCTATCGAAAGGGTCGCTTCTATACGTTTCTTGCCCCATTTAATGCCCCCTAAACTCAACCCACTTTTCTCCGAAACTTCTTGACCGGAACCTTAGTAGTGGGCGTGGTTGGAACCTCCGTAGTACCAGGCAGCTTTTCCTTCTTAGCGCTCTTTGTCGAGCTCTCCACCTCCACCGTACTTCTCGTCTTCACCTCCGTACTCTCATCCTCTTGAAGGTCGGCTTGATGGGAGGCTTTTCGCTCCTTTTTTGTATGTTTCCAAGTCTTGGTCTTATGCGAATCCTTTGTCAGTTTAGAAAAGCTTTGCGTAGTCGTCGGTTTCACTGTAGTTTTCTGGCTGGTAGTGGTGGATGCGGTGGATGAAACTTCGGCTTGTGAGTTGGAATCCAAGACAGCGGCTAACTCCGAGTTGGAGAAGATTTCAGCACAGTCATCGGTCAGGTACTTCTTCTTTAGTTTTTCTAAATAATTGGTCTAAGAGCAACGACGAAAATCCATACCTTTAGCAGCACATTTATACTCTAGGTAACTCTGAAGTTGACCACCGCTCGAGATGGTGTTGAAATTTTCGGGGTTGGAGAACCTGAAAAACGACGCATTAGAGCGAGGGAGAGAGCGAGAAACAGAGGCAGAGACAGTGACAGAGAGAGAGAGCAAGCGAAAGCCGAAAAACTCACCGATTCTGCTTATTAATCAAACACGTCTTGCTCTCGAAGTAGTACTGCGCGCTCTGACAGCTCTCACCGTATCTAAATCCGGGTATAAAAATTTTATTAGTGTAAGGCACCTCTTTTCAGCATTTGCGCAGAAGCACTTGCATTGCAGTGGGGAAACGGAAGCTTCTACGGCTAGAGAGATGCCCTCCAAAACGTGAGATGGGAGCTCCTCGAAGCAGTCATCGGATTGGCCTGAAATTTTTTTGAAGCTATCATTTTGAAAAGGACGTGGCAAGATACAAGATCCGTTTAGATGGATGCTTACTCGGATAAGACTCCTTGGTGGTCGTCGTAGCGAGCGTGGTCGTGGTAACCTTGGCCAAGCAGCCGTACTGTTTCTCCGGGTTGACAAGCTGTGCGAGGGCTTCGCCTGGAAAAGATATCATGTCATCTCTCTCTCTCTCTCTCTCTCTCTCTCTCTCTCCGGATTTATTACCTCGACTACAAGTCAGCCCGATATACGTCACATTCTCATCACTTCGGAACGCCTCTGGCCTTGTCTCTCTGTTCTCCAGGTTCAAGACACAATCGCGCTCGTTATGGTAGTAGGTGGCAGATAGGCACTCGAAGGCGAAGCGTCCAGAGGCCCTGAAAGGAAGGGTTACGATACATGACTCTGGAAATTGAAAGATTTGGAACGTACTTGCTATTGGCGCATAAACATTGGCATTCTTCAAGCGATATTCCCTGTTCCAGACCTCCGGCGGAGGAGCTCAACAACTTGCCGTCAATCACTTCGAAGCAGTCCGGAGTGGTGGAGGTTTTGTGGCCCTAAAAATACCTAATAATCACGCCTTTAGTGGATGCGAGGCTATCGATACATTCTTTGGACTGGACGAACATGTCGCTTGGTTCCATTATCAATTATAAGCTCACTTACCAATCCTTCCAGCAAGTCCTTATCCCCATCAGGCTTTGGCGACGTCGACGGGCTTGTGACAGCTTCAGAAACAACGGTCACTTTCGTCACTTCCGCTTCAGAGGTTGTAGTAGCTAGCGTAGCAGCACTCGCCGTTGTCGGTGTGGCAGCTGCCGTCGAACTGCTAGCCGTCGTCTTTTCTTCAGTAGTTGTTGTCGGAGCTGCAGAAGTCGTAGCGGTAGTCGTCGAAGTCTTCGTAGTTACTTCTTCTCGTCGGGCGGCAGCAATTTTCTAGATAGAAAACCATTGAATTAAAGATGATTTTTACAAAGTGGTGTTATTAATGAAAACGTGTGTTCAAAATAAAATTCCCTTATTTTCGTCGATATTTTTAGTATAACCAATTATCCCGACAACCTAATAATTGTGTTAAAAATGTATAAAAATTATTCCTCCTCACCACAGCAACCCTAAATCATATATGTTATTATTGTTGTAACTTGGCATTAAATGGTTATTTCTGATAACCTTTCACACCCAGTGTATATCAGTGTTGTTTAGTACACACTGCTACCTTCTGAATTTTCCTATTCTTTCGCTGGTTCTTTTGCCTATTCAGCTTTCTTTGAGCTTTCTGCCGATTCTGTCTTCTTCTGGCTTCTTGTCTCCTTCTTCTAGCCCTTTCGGCCTTTTTTCGTTGTATATTCCGATTCCGTATTTTCCGCTTTTCCGCGGGGGTGTACCGAGGAGCGGCGTGGACTCGGTGATGAGGTCGGTCGTTCAGTTCTTCACTTTCAACCCAGTTTTCGGGTTCTTCAGTTACGGTATTTTCCTCAGTAGTTGATTCCGGGGTAGTTTCTTGTATACTAATTGTCGAAGTGGCTACCGTAGTCGTGGCAGCATCCGGGAGTACGGTAGTTGAGGTGGAAGGACCGAAGAGGGCGAGGATGTTTTGAGGCGTGGCTTCTTTGCACACTTTTGGAGGCGACGGAGAGGAGAACTAAATTAATTATAGTTTTACCTAGGTTATATTGAAATTCGATACCTTTCGGGTCGCAAGTAATATGCTGATACGTCATCTTCTTATCGCCAATCAGGTCGTATTTGCCAAAATGGGTGCCTGAAACGATAAAACGTAGTAGCATAACTTAGGCTTAGCTTCGGTTTGGCTTAGGCTCAGCGTAGGCTTAGCTTTGGCTCAGCTTAGGTTTAGCTTAGGAACTAGCTTAGGCTTAGCTTCGGCTTGGCAATATCGATATAAAAACCAGGAATTCCGATATACCCTTGTTTAACCAGCAAGTCTTTGTCGAAGCGGAGTACTGCAGCGATAAACAGCGATGCAGAGCCGTATCATTTTTCCAGGTGGCCGCGCAAAGGCATCTAAATTTCCACAGTTATATTCCTTTTTAGAACCGTAACAAACTGTGAAGGCGAAAATATTACTTACCGACACTCATTAATCGAGGCTGGAGAGATCTTCTGGAAATCCGCGTCCAGCAGATAGCTTTCAGGGCTTGTTGTGAAGCACACTTTGCCTTTTGCTAAAATTCAGTTCGCTTGGCTTTTCCTTTCAATCGAAAAATTAACAATGAAAATATAACAAAAAGTACTAAAGCTGTTACTAAGAATAAATTAAAAAAATGGTTTAAGGTTTTTCTTTGTGGAAACAAAAATCGTTACCTGGATGTTGGGGAGGGGCGTCATTTTGTAGATTGGCAGTTTGAGGGTCGGCAGGATTCTGCGATACCTTTAAAATATACGTGTGAACATACATTGAACTAATTTTACTGACCGGTTTCCCGTCGTTCGGCTCCCCGGTAATGATCTTGATTTGCATCTTCGGGGCGTCGTAGGTCCCTCCAACGGTTACAAGCTTTGGATGGCGAGCAAGATCTGGAAAAATTCATAATTTAGACGTTTCTAACATCAAAATCAGGTCTCGACAACTCCGTTAAGATACGTTAGGCCTGCTTTTCATATATAGACTACGGAAGTCACGAGCGCTATTGCGCAAAGGCTTTACTTATTGCAAACGTATTTTGTCGTGACGCGTAGTTATCTAGACCCAGTCGATGTTAGGGGTTAATATTCGCTTATCCCAAGCCCCGTTAAGTCAATTAAACACCCACATCTATACTCGTGACAATCCTTGAAGCAAGCCATCTGCACCAAATGGCCCTGTGGCTTGAAATCGTCAAGATATCGCTGCGTACTCACTCTGAAAATCGTTACTTTTTCAAATTCCATCTGCATGACCTACCGGCAATCCACCTGTTGAGCATAGGAAATAGCACAACTCCTCGCAAAAGAGTTGTAGACCGCTGTTCGACAGAATTTCCGGTTAGCGCAAAATTGGGCGCAATCGAACGGGGATCGTATTTCGAGTCTAAAAATCGACGTAATTTTTTCTATCTGTGGACGCAATATTTGCAAGAAAATATTCTATTTGTCTTGAAATTTGTTAATAGGTTGAATCGCTTACGCAGTGAAATAAAATGAGACATCAGCCGCCCGTTCCACGGAAATATCCTCTGCGTAGTAGTCGGAGACGCATTCCGCTGAAAATAACCTCTGAAATACTATGCAAAACCAAGGTATTAACGTTTTCAATTATTTTTGCGCCTTTTTCAGACTTATCGGTCCCTTTAAAACGCAAAACCCACCTGAAACCGTTGATCTCAATAGCAAAAATATAAATGTGGCCCCGTAGGCGGCCCACCAAGGGGATGGCGGGTCCCGCATGGAACACGGGTAAGGGTCGTTCGACGATGGGGAGAGGGGGCAGGCCTGAAAAATGGTTGATGAAAATTTGTAGAAAAATAACCTTAAAAAATAGCAGAATTAATGGAGAAAAGTTAAATATAATATGTCAATAAGACAACAGTTTCCGTGAATTCCTGACCATGCGCAATGAAGCGCATTTTTACCGCATTTGGTCGAGACGAATCGCTTTGAAAATTACTTTTTGGCAATGTGGACTTGAAAAACGTCTTTAGAAGCCGTATCAAAGACAGATATGCTAAAGTAACAACGAAATAGGGCTTTTTACACACAAGATAAGTTTGAAAATCGCAAAATACACTTTTTAAATAAATTTAATAAATAGCCAGGTTCGAAAATAGCAAAACTCATAGAACTTTTAGGAGAAGCCAAATCAACGACGAATCCTTGTGAATCATACCTATTATAAAAAGTTACGAAACTCTGGAGCAAACCCGATCGAATCTCTAAAAGTAAAACCCGGCTTTGAGAGACCAAGCAGAAATCGCGACTCGAGAAAGTCGGCTATTCAAGGAAGCTATCGACAAAAAACAGGTGAAAACGACATCGAGACCTCTTTCCGGCCCGAACAAGTGGCTAACAGTTTCCCTTCCCTCTCTCTACCGATATAAAAGACTAAACCGGTCACTTTCCTTATCCACCCCTTCTAGAAAAAGCCTTGTCCGTAAGCGTGGCTATTCGAGGGGACACCCTCCTCCTATCTAGCCAGCGAAATGCACCCCATTCAAATCTGGGGATGTGAAAAGCCTCAATGACCCCTCGCATCGGCTAGATCGGGGCGTTTTTGGAAGTGGGATGGACTTGGATGGGAGGACAAAACGACAAGCACAAGCCTGGGAACTGTTCTTCGGCTGATAAAAGCCGTGGGAAGCTGCTGCTGATGTTGGAGAGGAAGAGAAGATGGATTTTGGAATATTGTGCTCTGGTGAAGGAAACAAGAAGGAATGAAAAATAGTCAGACCAAAAGACGATGATAACTCAAAAAAATAGCAAGTTGACATCTTGAACCTGAGAAAATTACACGAGCTTTTCCAGTTAGCAGCAACCAAGTGACCCTGTTTCTCATATTACGCTTGGTTAGATCTGGAAGCCAAGTTGGCTTACGGGCAACTGGAAGCGAAGCCAAAGCTAGTAACTTCTTTGTCATAGTGAGAAAAAGACCAGGCAGGTGTTTTAAACGTTTTCCCACCTCGGATCGTCCCGATAGATTAACTCACGTAATTAGATCGTGCTTTTAAAATTGCTTTGTAGACTTTGGAGGACTAAAAATACGAAAACATCAAGTTATTTGCATTGACAACCGACACCCTCCAAGCAAATTTTTGCAAAATTTAGAAAATCCTCTATCCCCCCTAGCTGAAGATTGGGAAGTGCATGGATTTGACCATCGAGCCAGCAAAATCCAGATTTTTGCAAGACCAAGTCTTTGTTCAGGCGATCCTTGAATGGATGGGTGGGCGAGGGCAGAGCACCAAAACTGCACTCGGCACTCCGTTAATCTAATTTGTCGGATGGAGAAAGACGGGCAGAAAGCTCGGCGTACAAAAAGTGCTAAGCGCAAATTGGGATCTTTGTTTTATAGACCCTTTATATCAACCCCACAATTCACATGGTCAGGGTATCTAGCGGAGAGATTTGGGGAAGTTAGAGCAGAGAAAAAGATCAGCGTAAATATTGTCAGAAGCCTTTGTTAACACCTATATTTCCGTCTGTGTAGGAAATATAGCTAACGCAAATTACAATAAGGGGTTTCGTAAAGTTTAATCTGTAAGGGTGCCTGGCATTAATTTTTGGAGAAACTGGAAAAATAGCTAAATAAATAGAATAGCAAAATTGCCAGAAAAATTGCTAAGAAGCACGCTGTCAACAAATCCGCCAAAAATCGCCCAAACACCGTCGTGAGGACCTGACTGCCATCCACCCCCGCCAAACCATGACCAATCCACACAAAACATTTGGGATTTCGGTTTTCAGCGCCCCGGGGTTTGGCGGATGGCAGAGTGGGTGTCGTCAATTCTATCTGGGAGCAGGATCGCGGACGCCCCCGAACGGCGCTCGAGTTCTCACTTTTTTGTGATGGTCTTTGGATGAAGGGCAAAAGGCGCGTTAGACGAGATCGAACAGCTTCTGCACAAAATCTATTAAAAATGAAACAAAACAACGTTTTACTGCAGGTATTTGCTTTTTATAAAAGTATGCAAAAATTTTGAAGCGCAAAAATGCCAAAACGACAAACCCGAGACCTAAAAAATCGGGGCGTGATAAAGCCGATATCGTCTGCAAGATTTCACTCTCATCATCGCCCGCTCCCTCCCGTTTTCCCCGTCCCCTAACGAGCCTCTCATTTTTTAGGGACAGGTTTCGAGGGATTGACGCGACCTCGAGTCCCTATCGAAGCTGATAGACGCTAGATAGAGGGATACTAGGATGGGGCCGATCTCGCACCTAGTCGATTCTCACATACTAAACTCCAGAATTTCGAAACAAATGCAAGTTAATTTCAGCTTTATAGGTACTAGAAAAAAAGACAATTCAGAAGTGACAAAACGGGTTTTGGGTCAATATTAGAAAAGTCACAGCAAGGAATTCTGGTCAACGGCAATTTGCAGGCTAACCTATCAATGCTACGTATTTTTGAGCACAGAGAAAATGCGCAAATGACGCCATCTCAGCCGCTTACGCTTAAAGCCCAAGATCCAGATCTTTAGGATCTGTGCGATGCCGCCACTTTTGAAATGACAGCAGGAACATGAAAGTGCACATGCTTGAGGTCGCTTGTCCCAAAGGGAAGGGCGTCTGGGAAGTCATGAATTGGCGCCACAAACGGCGCGCGCTATGGGTGAAGTTCCCGGGTTTTTTTCGGTTTTTCGAAAGCTCTGTAAAAGTTTTTCGCAGCCCATTGAAGGAAATCCTTAAAAACTGACCTAACGAAGGCCTTAACATAGCAATAACAGGTGTTATCCAGCCAAGCAAAATTAGCGCGTAAAAATTTCGGCACCCTAGCTGAAAAATTGCGCTAAAGAACCGAGGAACAATCGGAAAAATCAAGCAAGCACGCCTGCTATTGGGTGGTTATTACCCTCTAACCCTAGGGCTATGATCCCTCAGAGGGCAGGTAGGTGAAGAGGGAGTGAACGGTCATTCTCCCGCAAGGGCGGAGGGCAGGTTGATCTTGACCGGTCCGTCATGAGGAACCTTGTGGAAAGAGAGGAGAAGGAGGGTTCCAAGAATCGGAGTTGGAGCTTTTACAGAGCTTGCAAAAACATGGAAACGACGGTGTGACGTTCAAAGGACAATACGGATTCTAGCAGATTTCACTAAATTCAAATTTGGTGAGGTCCTTGAGGACGAACGGTAAAACAGGATTTTAATGAAAAGGGTGACGAAAATGACAAAAAGTAGGAAGGCGATGAGTCTTATCCATTCAGTCAATTGTCGCTAACTTTTCCTGGCACTGTCCCTTTAAAAGTCGAAAATGTGATCAGTCGAGTATGGAATAAGCTAAAGCTAGCAAAGATCTTTGAGGAAACGCCGTCAGGTAGAACATGATAAAAAGAAATCCAAAACCGCCAAGTTCCTCCTCCCGGAAATATCCGCCCCAATACCAATCACTGATGGCAGGATATTGTCTTCCCCAGACATGACAGAGGGGATAATCAATTTGCTGATAATTCCTCCATGAGGCAAGAAAGGCTGCGTTGGCATCCAATAAACGGGTTGATGACGAGAGGGCGCCCCTCTGAGCCGATGTTCTTGGGGAAAGCCGCAGGGGATTGGGGATTTCACTTGATGCAAATTAATCGCATTTCAAGGGCAAAAAGTGGGGCTGGAGGCTTGGAGGAGGATGGGTGTGCCTCTGAAAATCTACCGGAATTTTAAGGGACGGTGAACAGGCATGAGCGTCGCGTTTCGCGGTGCGGCAAAGTCCATGTCAAATCCATAGCAACAAAATCCATAGCCAAGTCTTGCCGGTGCTTTTAAAGGAACTAGCAAGTGTCAGAATCAATTCTTCGCGACGGCTAGGTCTCGACAGCAACTAGAAACTAGTCCAACGCACATGATTTGGGCGTCATGCGGCGATGTCGCGCCCGATGCTTGGGGGTAGTGTGTAACGCCTAAGATCCAGATGACGCAAGGCTTAGATTTTGGCACTTCCTAGTTCCTTTAAACGGACAATCAACACTGAAGAAAATATCGAAAGTCATAAAAAGCCATTTTTAAGGCCGAAATTTAGAGTTGAAACATTTCAGTAAAACCCCAAAAGGTGACCAACCACTATTTTGACACAATAAAGGCTTTGAGGTGAGGAAGGGCGATGGGCCGGTTGGTCAAAATAAGTAGCACCTTATAGAAGGGTAGAGGAAGGAAGGGGGGTGAAGCCAGTTCCCCCCCCTCCCCCACCTAATAGGAGAGAGCCCAGCTAGTCGCGGGCTTTTCGGAGTGAATGCCATTGTCAGCACAAGCCTCTAGGAAAAGCGGATGAACGAGGACCGGGTGGTGCTCATGTTTTTCGGTTATCGGGGTGATGTCAACACGAAAAAGGGAGCTCGACAGGATAACCCTCTCCAGGCAGCTGGAGGCTAGAAGGTACAGTAATTCTTTAATTCCAGGATCTTTTATTGCGACAAAATGAGGTCCATTACAATATGTTGTGAATAACAGAGGAAATAGTAATGCAAAAAAATCGGTATTACAGATACAATTTTGTTTCCCCCCCCAACCCCCCATAATAAAAAAATTTTCATAGAGATCGGAAACCGAAAAAATACAATGCCATTGTCGCTTGCTCGTCCCTTTAATAGGAGTTTGGAGCGGCAAAAATCCAATAAAAACCATGGGTGTCTCCGGATAGCACTTTAAAAAACATGGCTCGCTCCAAAAAATTTTAAATAAAGTTTATTTGGCAAAACGAAAGTCAGATCTTGGAAAATTTAAATTACCATTCAATACGGCATCGAAAA